GAAAAGAAAGAAAAAAAAACGGAGAAGAAAGGGAAGAGAATTGAGAAAAGAAAGAATAAACAGAAAATAGAGAAAGACGTAAAAAAAAATAAAACAAACAAGAAAAGAGAAAAATGGTAGTAAAAAAGAAACAAAAAAAAACGTGAGAAGAAATGAAATGAAAATGAGAAAGAAAAATGTAGAGAGAAAAAGAAAGAAAAAAGAAAGAAAAACGAAAAGAAGTGGAAGAAAAGAAGGAGAAATATGAATAAAGAAAAGAGAAAAATAACCGAAAAAAAAGAAAACTGAAAAACGTGAGAAGAAATGAAAAGAAAAGGGGAAAAGAAGAATGTACATCGAAAAAGAAAGAAAAGAGAAGGGAAAAAGAAAAAAAAAAGAAAAGTTGTTGAAGAAAGGAAAGAGAATCATAAATAAAGAAAGGAGAAAAATTAAAGAAAAAGGAAACTGAAAAAAAATGTGATGAACTGAGAAAGAAAATGTGAAATATGTCAGTAAAGTAAAAGAAATAAAAACAGAAAAGAGGTCGAAGGAAGGAAAGTGAGAAGAAGAAGAAGAAGAAAAGAAGAAGAAGAAAAAAAAAAGAAGAAGAAGAAGAAGAAAAGAAGAAGAAAAGAAGAAGAAGAAAAGAAGAAGAAGAAGAAGAAGAAAAGAAAAAGAAGAAGAAGAAGAAGAAGAAGAAGAAGAAGAAAAAGAAAAGAAGAAGAAGAAAAAAGAAGAAGAAGAAGAAGAAAAGAAGAAGAAGAAAAGAAGAAGAAAAAGAAGAAGAAGAAGAAGAAGAAAAGAAGAAGAAGAAAAGAAGAAGAAGAAGAAGAAGAAGAAAAGAAGAAGAAGAAGAAGAAGAAGAAGAAGAAGAAGAAGAAAAGAAGAAGAAGAAGAAGAAGAAGAAAGATAAAAAAGGAGAGAAAAAGGAAATGGTAACATTGACAATGGAAACAGATAAATGAAAAAGAACGGCAAGAATAAAACATCTACGAAAATAAAAGTGAAATACAGAGATGAAAGATAATAGAAGAGAGAGAATCAAATAAAGGGAAACATAAATGGCCAACTGAATGAAGACGAAGAAAAAAAAACTAAAGACAGAAAGATTCTTTTTCTTTGTCATTTCTTCCTCATCTCACTTTCCTCTCTCGACTACGACTTCAAACTGACGCTTGTGCGCGCGTGGACAAGTTTCGCGAGTGATTTGGGAGGAACGTTGGCAATTGGTTTTGTGGTTGATGGCCGAAGATTCGAAATTTCTCTGACTCGCAGAACATGGCTATGACATTTTGACAGACGTAAAGCATTTTAAATGACGTCGTTTCCCTCCAACTTCCCGCCAAAAACAATGGAGTTGACGAATTGCTGCTTTGTTGAAACCAGCGTTCTCATTTCACAGTTGAACCGCAAGCCACGCTTTCTGGAAGAGAAATAAGGCCATCGAGGACCAATGAAAAAGAACACCACAAAGTGGCATTATCATCTCAAAGACTGATAAAAAAAACAACACTATTCACCTTGATTGAGTTTTTTAATATTTACTAAACTTGGCCTAGTAGAGAGAAAGTTCTTTACGGCAGTGAATGTTAGACTCGTTGCGATGGAGATGTGGTTCTACAGAAGGATGCTAAGGATATCATGGGCCGAGCGTGTGAGCATCGTTGAGGTTGCAAAGGAGGAGGCTTATATTTAATATCAGGAACAGGCAGCTGAAGTTTCTGGGACACATAATGAGGAAGGAATGCCTGGAGAATCTGATACTCACGTGTCGAATAGAGGGATGGTGAGACAAGGGAAAATAACGCATGACATACCTAGCGTGCTTGAGCAAGCGGATAACAGAACGTGGTCTGGGGGAGATGGCAAAGGAAAGGAACTTGTTAAGAGCTGCAAGGGATAGAGGGAACTGGAGAGCCATGATCGCCTACGTCCTGAAAGGACATGGCACATAAAAAGAAAGACTAGCAAAGAGGATGTTTATACTTAACATCAGGAAGAGGCAGCTGAAAGTTCTGGGACACATAATGAGGAAGGAGGGCTTGGAGAATCTGATACTCATGGGTTGAATGGAGGGAGAGTGAGACAAGGGAAAAACAACGTGTGACATACCTGGCGGACTTAAGCAAGTGGATGACAGAACGTGGTCTAGGGGAGGAAGCAGAAGGAAGGGACTTGTTGAGGGCTACAAGGGATAGGAGGAAGGTGAAGATCCATGATCGCCTACGTCATGAAAGTACATGTCCCATAAAAAGTAAAGAATTAGATCGTACTGACAAAATAGATAGATAGATAGATAGATAGGAACAGACTGAGATAGATAGATAGATAGATAGATAGATAGATAGATAGATAGGAACAGACGGATAGATAGATAGATAGATAGATAGATAGATAGATAGATAGATAGGAACAGACTGAGATAGATAGATAGATAGATAGATAGATAGATAGATAGATAGGAACAGACTGAGATAGATAGATATATAGATAGATAGATATTACAAATAAAAACCAACATAAAGTCTGCCAAGTGACCAAACATAATTTAACAAAAGAAAAAAAAATCAAACATAAAGAAAGAAACCAGGAGAAAAACCGACAAAAAAATGACAACATTGAAGTAAGAAACGTTAAAAAAGACAGAAACCGGCCTATACAATAATAGACAGTCCTCAATGTCTAAATGACTAAGACCTTTTAGGTGCAATTACAGTAACGTTCACCCTCTACAAGGCCCAGAGCCACTCGAGGTAGAGGATTACGTTAACAGGCTGTTTATACGGATAGGTTATGAAGATTTGAGCAGGTTAAGATTTTATTGATTGGGAAAATATCCTCTTGGGAGCGTGTTCCCGAGAAGAAGCTGTTTGAGTGGAACTTACTTCTCACCGATTGAATACGGAGGGAGTGCAGGTGGTTTGCTACAATGTAAGTAGCATGGCGGGTCCTAACCGTGAAGTTTAAACCTGATGGAACCAAGGAATGTTGTTAGTCCGAGGACTTTCCACTGAAGAAGCAATAGGGCAGGTTCGATACATCACACCTATGAGGGAGAGGTTGAAAGGAGGAAAAGAATGCTTCTCCCACAAGGACTGGGAAACGGTTTTGAACTTTGTCATAATTAGAAAGTGAGGACTGGGCTATTTCCGCCCAAATATGACAATAATGCTCCATTTTCGGCCTGATACCTGGCAACGCCACTCAGAAAGATATCGGCCAGAGTGTTATTCGAGTTTCTCCCTAGCATAATCACCAGATGACTAGAACGTCCTGGTCGCTTGCCGATCGTGGTAGCGATAAATTAGATAGATAGATAGATAGATAGATAGATAGATAGATAGATAGATAGATAGATAGAAACAGATTGAGATAGATAGATAGATAGATAGATAGATAGATAGATAGATAGATAGATAGATAGGAACAGACTGAGATAGATAGATAGATAGATAGATAGATAGATAGATAGATACAGACGTGAGATAGATAGATAGATAGATAGATAGATAGATAGATAGATACAGACGTGAATAGATAGATAGATAGATAGATAGATAGATAGATAGATAGATAGATAGATAGATACAGACGTGAGATAGATAGATAGATAGATAGATAGATAGATAGAAACAGACTGAGATAGATAGATAGATAGGAACAGACTGAGATAGATAGATAGATAGATAGATAGATAGATAGATAGATAAGAACAGACTGATAGATAGATAGATAGATAGATAGATAGATAGATAGATAGATAGATAGATAGGAACAGGCTGAGATATGACCGCCTGAGCATATTGTGACTGGCAGGCAGTCAGACACATACAGGTAAGAAAAATCTGGAATACCGAATTCCAACAAAAAATTGAGCCATGTTTATTCCCACACACAGTCAGAAAAAAATAATTTTAGAGAAACAGATATGGGGAGAAATAGAGATAAATAGATAAAGTCATATTTATATTCTACGATGCTCTTCTGAATCTTTTGATGTCTATTGATAGTTCGCTATTGTATTGTAAAGAATTAGACATGCTTGTTAGCGTGTTGATTTGTATTATAGCCAATCTCCGCGGTAAACACGCCATGTGCGTCTCTGCCTCTGACTGCGCATGCGCTCATGCAAAATACAGCGCTGATGACTCACCGATTCAAACAGTGCTGCAGGATTTATGTCTATAAATATGGCGTGCGAAGAACTTTAATTCTCTCGCCGCGTTTAGAAATCTTTGATTACGTATTTATACACATGATGTTAGTCTGCGTTCTTGAACTTTTTCTTCTGGTTTTTCATCTGACTATTCCGGTCTTTGAGTTGCGTAAAAGAAAAGAAAGAAAATAGGCGAATGAAACTAATAAAAAAAAAGAAGTGTAACTGACCCACCCACCCCTTGAAATAACTGAAAACAGAAATAAAAAATGCGACCAGGAGCAGAACGGGACTGAAAATATGCGACAAATATACAGTGAAGCTAAACACACACATATATAATATATATATATATATATATATATATATATATATATATATATATATATATATATATATATAACAGGAAAGGAAAGTCTATTATGTCAGATTATGAGCCGTTCTAAAATAAAGGCAAAAATTCGATATTTTTTTTATAGGCTTTCCGCTCTTTTTTGATCTAAGTTTTCGGCTCACCTGAGCCAAATTAATAATGGTTTTACTGGTATTTAACAAAGATAGTCACTATCGAATATAATTTTTGTTATTATAGAAGATTGCTATGCGACAATAACGGTTCGTAAGTTCAAGATGCGGTTCTATGGTGTCATACTACGCAAGAGACTGAAATATTAGATAAGACGTTTAGCCATCTTGTCACCATTTGTCGTAAGACTCACTGAAATGACCTTCGAGTTGAGAGGTTAAAGTCGTTTTATGTTAGACCCACTGTCTTCCCAACTGAGCAATTGCGAGAGGAAAAAAGATTATTCAGGCCTTCAATAATGGCGCCAACATTTATACTCTGGCTTCCATTTTCAAAGTTCATTCAATAACATTGAACAAGTTTTAAAAAAAGAGGGAACAGTAGAGAGAAAAAAAAGGAAGAGGGATCATCATTTCAAGTTAGGTGCAAAAGAGATGAATTAGAAAAGATTCAACTCAATCCATAAGACCTTTGGCACGTGAGAGAGGAGTTTCTGCAATGACAGTCCAAATACAGTGAAAAAAGACAAAGATGTGAAAATGAAATCGTACGTGAAACCTGTGGGGCAGCTTCTTGCCCCAGGACAGAAAGATAGAAGGTTAGAGAGCGCGAAGATCATCTTGAATAAGTTGGAAACTTAATTTCAATCCTTCATGAGCTTCCGATCCTTAGCTATAATTCATTAATGATGAACATGCCTTTTTCGTTTATGATGGATTTCATAAGATTTTTCTTTTAAGCTTGGAGAATAATTATGCTTAAAGTAGAGTCCTGTTGGTTATAAAAACCGGAGAATTACAGTATGATATCTTTAATCATTTCTAAGATGCAATGTTTCAAAGCTTAATCTAACAATTGGATAATTTCGCTGTTACACGCGGTATATATATATATATATATATATATATATATATATATATATATATATATATATATATATATATATAAAAGACATTTTATGTTTATACATTCTTTTACATAGATACAAATATTTAGGCCGGTAAATAATTTTTAATACTGTTTTATTATAAACAGAGCATTTACTTAAATATTTGTATCTATAAAATTAATGTATAAACATAAAATGTCTTAAAATAATTGTCGGACTGTGTCCATTTCATAATATATATATATATATATATATATATATATATATATATATATATATATATATATATATATATATACCGAGTGTAACACCAAAATTGTCCAATTGTTAGATTGCATGTGTTTTTGAACATACAAATATAGGTCCTTGCTGGATTAGATAATCGTTATATTTATCTTCATATATTTATATTTGATGTGTAACCTGTAGTCGATATTAAATTTGTGAAATTTTCTCAATTACAAAGTGGCCCTTTACGTAAACGCAATTTTACTTTCCTTCGTCCCATCTCTCTCCCCCACCTCGTCTTTCCCTTCCCCTCCCTCTTATTCTAACATTAAATTGTCTATGGTGTGTGTATGTCACCACGAAATGTATCTTTATGCATTAGAAATCCGTCAACATTCATTCTTTTCTCTTATTTAAACCCCTTTCTCCCATATCTCCTAAAATTATTTCTGTTAAGGTTTAATCTCCCTCCTCCTCATACTTACACTCTCTCTAAATTCTGTTTTTATTTCCGGAGTTGGTTTTTTTTTCTGTTTTCTTTTTGAATTTGTAGGTCTGATGAATTGGATCGTATTTACGATTCAAATGGAATAAATTATGACCATGGAATATTAGTGTTTAAGCCTTTTATATATATATATATATATATATATATATATATATATATATATATATATATATATTCTTAATAAATAGATAAACGCACGACATTGTGTGTAACAGAAAGGGAGGAGGCTGTGAAGAAGAAGAAGAAGAAGAAGAAGAAGAAGAAGAAGAAGAAGAAGAAGAAGAAGAAGAAGAAGAAGCAGCAAAGTTATTAGGATCGGTGCGGGGTTCATTGAAATGCACAGGTTTTTTTGTATCCCGCTTCATATGTGCTTAATAGGAATTTCTTAATATGTATAAAAGGACTCAAGAATTTTAATGTTTAAAGCTCTACTTGCTATTTTTACTTTTACTTTTATTTTTCCACGTGTATTAAGCACTTTTTAATAGTACTGTTTCCTGGTCTGATTCACCTCTGACCATTAACCTTTTTCTGTATATATATATATATATATATATATATATATATATATATATATATGTGTGTGTGTGTGTGTGTGTGTGTGTGTGTGTGTTGAATACTAAAGATTAATACAAATACTATATATATGTGTGTTTGTATGTGTGTGTGCGTGAGATGTGTGTTTGTGTATATTTGTGTGTGTTTGCGTGTTTTTAAATTTTAGATGTTGTTATTTGCACTATTTCCATTGTTCGGACATTTTTCCTGATTTTTTATTGTGATATCAACGATGTTAAGGACATTATACGCTGCAGCCTTCTTGGAATTTTGAACCGAACCTTTGATTTAGTCTACGGGGATAGATTGTTCTAATACCATGTCCCATGACTTTGGATATCTCAGTTTGAGTTAATTTGTCTTGATAACTCTTGATAAGTCTTTGTTCTGTAAATCGGTAATTGTAGAAGAAAACATTTTTAAGGCAAGTATGTCCATTTATCATGAGTTTGTTAGATTTTACATTCCTACTTTAGGAATCTGTATTAAGTTTTCTGACGTGTGGGTGCAATTTCACAAAACTCAGAAAGGCGTTAAGTGAATAGATTTAATTTATTGCATGCACACATATACACACCTGTAACCCCTCTCAGATATATTACTAATGTCGAAAGTACTTGGAATAAATCTATATGCATCAATAGGGTAGGATGCTA